CAAAAACCTAGAAAATCAAGTATCTGTAAAAATACCCCAGCGTGACCCACCACCCTGCTGCTGAAGAGGAGTGCCTGCCTGGCTGGAGCTGATGGTGACAATGCTGGGCTGGAGGGACACAGCTGGGGATTGGCTGGGGCTCAGCCTGCACTCCTAATTCCCTTTCCTCATTCCCTTTTGGGGGGGGAACAGCCCCTGAAGATCCTGGCTGGGGGTGGGGGGTCAGATGGAGGACTCCACACCGGCCTTGGCCAGGGTCAGGGGGGGTGAGTCAACATGTTGCTTTTCCTGCTCCCTCTCCCGGCGCTGGTACTCCCGCAGCACCACCAGCGGACTGAGGAAGGCCAGGAGGATGACGATGATGAGGCCAGTGTTCACCTGGATGGGAAAATCAGGTTCTGAACAATACAGAAAGTGGGGGTCAATAAAGTTCCCCCAGGTCCGGTATGGGGCATCCCCTGTCTCTCACTGCAGGATGTCAATAAAGTTCTCCAGGCCCCAGATGGGCCACTCCCTGTCTCTCACTGTGGGATGTTGATAAAGTTCCCCAGGCCCTGGATGGGGCACTCTCCGTCTGTCACTGCTGGATGTTAATAAAGTTCCTCTCCCCTGCAGGCCCCGTAAGGGGCACACCCTGTCTCTCACTGTGGGTTGTCAATAAAGTTCCCCCTCACCCCAGACAGGGCTCCCCCTGTCTCTCACTGTGGGGTGTCGATAAAGTTCCCCCCCGGCGCTGTAAGGGGCACCCCCCATCCCTCACTGCAGGGTGTCGATGAAGTTCCCCAGGCCCCAGATGGGACAGGATGTTGTACTTAGAGTACTGCACAGGATCTTTTCAGGGGTAATAAGGCAAAACGCCACATTTATTAGTAATACATGTATTTGTTAATACTGTATCATATGCATATGAGATATATACATATACACTCATGCATTCACATACACACACACAAGCACTCCGTCTTGTTGTTGTTACCAATTAGTTGCCAACTTGCTCCCCTTAACTGCACTGGCCAGGTGAGTTAGATGGGGGAGGGGTGGAGCCGGGCTTCTGCTGATCCGGATCGATGCTCCCATGTGACAAGATGAGACCCGGGGTCCTCTGCAAGAGACCTCACTTTTATAGCATCTTCCCTCTCATGCAAATCTGTACCAGATTCAAAATCTGTGTCTGTGTCCATTGGTCCTTTGTGCTGCTTCCTTCTGGGGGTTGTCCCAATGCTACAAAGAGGGTGTTTCCAAAAGAAGGTGCTTGCTTCTAACCCCCGAGGCCATCAGTATGTCTGATCTTCTTTAGTGAGTCCACTTGACAGGTTTTAGCATCCTTGGGTCTGGCTCCCAGCCCCTCTCCAACTGTTGCAGCTATTTGGAGGTGCTGCCTTCCACGCCTTCCTCATTCACACCTCATTCATTCAACAGGGCAATTGATTAAGAGTGTGTGTGGGGGGGAGATCTTGTTCTACTGCTAGCAAAAAGATTACAGATTCAGACTAACACGGCTACCCCTCTGATGCTAGCAAAAAGACATTTTTCTTCTATCTTATTCTATCCTTAGGGGCTATAACATTATACCAAGGACAAGGCAAGGTTTCTACATGAGACTTTGATACAAAGTTTCCATATACCAAGGCTCATCAGTACAAAGTTTCTATATTAGGCCTTGATACAAAGTCTCATGAAAACAGAGGTCACACATGGGTAGACCCACTACAAGGTTATATGAACAGGCACAGTGATTTAGTTGGGAATTGGTCCTGCTTTGAGCAGGGGGTTGGACTAGATGACCTCTTGAGGTCCCTTCCAACCCTGATATTCTATGATATGATTCTATGACAATGTAAAGTCATATGAAAATGATCAGAGATTTATCTACAAGGACACTCACATAGAAGGGGTCATCGCTGAGCGGTCCCTTGATGAGTGCGAAGCAGGGGTACTGGAGGAGTGACACCAAGGCCGACAGGCCCATCACCAGCCCATATAGCTTCCCGAAATGTTCCAGCGGGAACCTGTGGAGAGACGACCCGGCGGCGGGGGGGAAGGAAGGACGGTGTTACAGATGTGGGGGGCACTGCTGTGAAACAGGCCAGAGGCGTACCCTGCCCCG